TGCGTACGCAAGTTTCTGGGCTCAAATTGTGCGTACGCAAGTTTTATAAATCCGACCCCAGGAGACTTTTTCTTCAGTGTATGTCTACATTTCTGAATCTTTCATTGTGTCTAACTTCAAACCTTGTGAACATCTAGATCGACTTCAAAACCAAAATGCTGTGCAGCATAGAGAAAGGCATCGTCAAGCGCCAGCTGCCTTTCTCCATGGTGAAGAGTTGTGAAGCTGGAGTTGGTTCCAGGTTCTCCATCTCCTTCAAAGGGCATCATGATTATGAACTGGAGGCCAAATCAATGGAAGACAAAGACAAGGTACAGATTGGCTGAGTGAGCATGAAAAACATCATTAYAATGAATTATTTCTACATTTTGTATTTCCTGTGTTTGCTTTTACGAATTCTTATAAAAAGACTTGTCTGGCACGGTAGTTCAGTGGTTAGAGCTGTTGTCTCACAATAAGAAGGTCACAGGTTTGTCTCCCACCTCAACCTGTGTGTGTGTGAATGTTTTCTCCTTCTTCTTGTTTCCTCACACCAAAAAACAAAATGCATGTTAGATTAACTGACAGTTCTGAATTGTAGGTGTGAGTGAGGCTGTAAATGGTTGTCTCTCAGATGRACTGTCTCCAGGGTGTCCCCCACCTCTCAGTGACCACTGATGACAGACACACACTCCCTGTGCTGTGACCCTACAAGGGGAACATGTGCAGACAATAGATAGATGAATTTGACTTTGTGGTGGAACTAATACTTTTAGGTTTAAGCCAGTAATTCATGACATACTTTAATGACCTAAGTTTTCATGACATGCTGTTTATCAGCAGATAGATTGATTAAAGTCAGAACAAGATTTGCTAACAACAATAATCCTTCTTGGATATCACTTGTGTTTATCTTTGTGTTTTCCCTTGGCCCAGCATTTCCTTAGGATGAAATCTTGCTTTATTAAGATGAAACAATAGTGTTTGTTAAACAGTATATGATCAGGCCTCAACTGTCTCAGTTAGGCAGAAACAGAGAAGCAGGAGAGAGCAGCGTGGACAGTCTGGTGTTGTTCTCTGTGTTTCTGTTGTTGTAGTAAAACTCAGCTGATCATCCCATGGAGAACCTTCATTTTTGGACCACGTATTTCTGTCTTTGTTAAAAAATATTTCCATAACAGACTTGTTTGAACTTTTTTGATTTTTGCAGATTATGCAGCTTATGAATCAGATCATTTATGGGAACATTTACAGCGGTCCTGGAGATGACAGCACAGCAGGGCACCAGCAGCCTGAAGCTCTTCAGAGCCTTCATGAAGGGGTCTTGTTGCTGCACAGAGGGGGTCTGGCATCATTAAAATGGGTGAAGTACGTTTGCATCCTCATTGCTGCAGCATTAAAACCAGCATCTGTGATGTAAAGACTTTGTCCCTGGTGGACAGTGAACACTTCGTAAAGTGAAAAATACAATGCATTTTAAAACTTTTCTCTTCATTATATAGTTGAAAAACATAAAAAACAGGAATAATGTTGCATAATAAAATCATAAAGTTTATAGTTAGACTTTTTACAGACTCTGCTTCTCAGCACTGAGCAGAGAATTATTTGTGTTTGTGTGGAAAGTGAAGTAAGAACACTTTCCTGTTTTATCTAAGCTCATGCATGGCAGCAGCCACCTGCTAACAGCTTCCAACAGATGTCAGCTTCTGTCTTCTTATCAATCATTACTGGAACTGTCTGTTCTGTTGTTTTACTCTGATTCATCAAACAAGAAAGTGTTAACTTTAATTGGTTAAAACCTTTACAAGAACATATTTTGCTTAGATTAGACCAGACTACTTTTTATTCTTTACACCAGACTAATGTGTGTATTTAAAGTAATGACGGCCACTCGTTTGTCTTTACTTAGCTGCTTTTTTCTTGCCATAATACAAATTCTAACAGTCTATTCAGTAGGACTATCAGTGGTGTACTGTATCCACCTTCTGCACAACACAACTGATGGGCCTAAACCCCATTTATAAAGGCAAGAAATCCCACTTATTGAACCTGACAGGGCACACCTGTGAAGTGAAAACCATTTCAGGTGACTACCTGTTGAAGCTAATCAAGAGAATGCCAAGAGTGTGTGAAGCAGTAATCAAAGTATATAATCCCACATGTTAATTCATAGTTTTGATGCCTTCAGTGTGAATCTACAATTTTCATAGTCATGAAAATAAAGAAAACTCTTTGAATGAGAAGGTGTGCCCAAACTTTTGGTCTGTACTAATATATAAAACCCCTGGAA